GGCCTTTCTCGGGCCTCCCGGGGGCCACACGGCCAGACTCGCTTCGGAGTTCTGGCCAGATCGCACCCTCGGGCAGGCCCAGGGGTTAACCCTTGAGCCCTGGACCCAGGCATCCCGTGGACTCGCTGTTCGAATCCCAGCATTTTCCGTCGTGTTCGACCCCGTGGGGGCCGTTTTTGTGTGGAGTTTCGGAAATGACGAAAGTTACCGCTGAGAAAGGGAACGAGACTTCTAATGCCGCTGATTGAAAAAAACACATCCTCGGATGTCAGCAGGATCCGTGAGTCTCATCCCCATTCCCAGTGTGCTCAGTGTGACATGAGTTCATTCGCTCCACCGTCGCAAGGCCCATTTCGAGCCGATCGATCCGCTTCCAGATCGACTATCGCGGGCTCGATCCGATTATATTCAGGTATTCCGACGACGATTCGATGTCGGTTCCGTGCCGATGCAGCCCGTTCCGATGCACATGTCGATTCGATTTGAAGGGCCGATTCGATGTTGATTGATCTTGCCAGCGTACCCACTTGAGGTGGGGACGGTGGATTCCGCGAAACGCAACGGAGGCAACATCGATTGCCATATATCAATTGAGAGTGGTGACTGGACGTCTGGGCCAAAGCTTTCCCAGTGGAGACCGTGATGGGTCCGACGATGTTGAGTGATCCTTGCCCCTTTCCGAGAGATCGCCCATACGATGGAGGGACATGTTTGTTTTACAAGCGCGAAGAAGCCCTGTGGCGCGGGGAGAAGGGAGGGAGGGAGGAGGGCGTGAAACAAGACGAGGCAGCTCAACCCGGAGCCGCCAGTGTCAGCCTCAATCTGGCGGCCCGGCCTGCGAAACCGAGCCGCCGTCGCAGCGCGGCGCGCCAGGTCGCCACGGGCCCCCCGGCCCGGTCCGCTTGGACCAGCAACAGCGCGGCGGCGCGCGGCGGCAGCGAAACGGCCCAGCCAGGGCATGGCCGGGCCGCCAGCACCGGCCAGCGCGGGGCCGCCGCGCCGCATTGGAGGCAGGCGACCCAGCTGGGGCCCTGCGATCGCACCACGTGCGGCGCCCAAGCGCCGCTCTCGAACAAGGCCCTGGCGGCCTCGGCGGCGCCTCGCTGTGGCAGTCCTGGCCCCGCAGCCCACGGCCGCCGGGGGCGGGGGGGCGGCCGTCCTGCGGGCGCGCCTGCCGCTGCCGCTTGCGCCGGTGGCCCGCGCTGCTGTTGGCCGGCGTGGGCAGGGAATGCCCGCCGCGGCGGCCCGCCCGCCCAGCGTCGGCGCACCCGGGGGCCCTTGGCCCCGTGGCGTCGTGGTTCGCCCGCAGCGCGGCACGCTCCACGGCCGCCAGCAAGCGCTGGAGCACCCAGGGCGCGTGCAGCTGCACTTGCCGCTGCGTGCAAAGGCCCGACGCGGGGAGCTAGGCGCGCGCCGCGGCCCCCGCCAGCTCGTCGGCGTCCGCGTTGCCCGCGCGATCCTCCGGGGCGACGCCCCGGGCCGCCGCCGCCGCCTCCTCGTCGAGGTGCCCCTTCACCCATCGCGTGCGGCGCCAGGACCTCCCATATGTCCGCGTGGGTCCAGTCGCGGGGGCGCGCGCCGGCATGCAGCGCCGCGATCCCGTGGTACACGTACTTGGAGTCGGAGACCAGCCCCAAAGGGGCCCCAGCCTCGCTGACGGCGTGCACGGCCGCTCTGCGCGGTCTGGGCCCTGGCGACAGGCCCGCTGCAGCGCCGCGACACGCCGCTGGGCCCCTGCAAGCGCACTCCCCAGCCGGCCCGGGCCAGCAACGGATCAGCGGGGTGCTCGCAAGCGCTGGCGATCCATGCCCGCACCCGGGCCTTCCCGGGGGCCACGGCCGGGGATGGCAGCCAGAGCGGCGGCAGTTGCTGCTGGGCCAGCGCTCCGAGCGCGGCCAGGCGAGCGTCCGTGGGTAATTAGCACTCCAGAGAGCTCGACCCCGAGGGGCAGGCGTGCCAGCAGGGCGGCCTCGCTTAAGCCGCCCGCCCGCAACTCGGCGCGGCGGACCTCGTGCCACTTGGGACACCACCTCCAGAAGCAGAGCTCGCGCGTCTCGTCCGCGGCGCCGCAGTGCGGGCAGCGCGAGGAGCGGCCCCACTTCGCGGCCACCGTCTCGGTGACGACGTTGCCCGTGAGGACCGCGCGCAGGGCGCCGGCCGCGTCCGGCGCGAGCTCCTCGCCTTCCAGCAGTTCTCGGGTGGCCTAGCAGTTGAACCCGTCCGCGACGTGCCCGAAGTCGGCGCGCCGCCAAGCCACCGCGCGAGCTTCGCGCCGAGCCCAAGCGTCCAGCAAGGCCGCGCGGGTGTCCTGCGGGGGGCGGTCGCCCGGCCGCCAGCCGTCGGGGGCCCACGGCATGCCCTGCCAGCGGCCGCTGTCGCCGCCGGGGCCGAGGTCGACCATGCTCCGCCGCACAGCTGCGAAAGGCCCCTGCTGGCGACCGTGGTCGGCATCCACTGCGCCTGCAAGGTCACTCCAGAGCTCGAGCGGCAAGCGCTGGCAGCGCAGCGCCTTCGCCGCCTGCCACAGCGGGGCAAGGGCACGGCGGGGTCGAGGCGCCAGCTCGGACTGAGCACGCCGAAAATGATCTCGGCCGCCGCCCGCAGCCCGCCTTGGCAGACGACCTGCCGCGCGGCCGACCGCAGGCTGGCCGACTCGCGCTTAGGAGGCCAGCCGCGCGAGGCGCCGTATATGCCGGCGGCCGTGCCAGCCGCCGCGCCGAGCAAACAGCGTTGCCGGAAGCCGACCCAGCAGCCAGGCGATGCGGGAGAACCGCCCCGCCGCCACCCGAGTCCGCGCGCCAGTCACCGCGCAGCGGCGGCCTCGCCCTGCAGTGGACACGACGCCAAGGTCACGGATGCCACAGCTGGCAGCAACACTTGGGGTTTGCGATCGGAGCCAGCGGCGGAGACAGGCACCGTTCGCGAACTGGCGGCTTTGTCCCTGTGCCGCGCGCCCAGAGAGTGAAGTCGTCGACGCAAGCCCTCTGCTGGAGGCGGTCGCCGATCCTGCCGCTGCCGAGGCCAGGTCAGCACGCTGAGAAAAAAACGGCCAGGGGGCACATACGATGGAAGGACACATCTCAGCGCCAAGTTCGGTACGATCGGTCCGATTCTATTTCGATTCTGACCGTTTTTTCGATCCTGTTTGATCCCGATATGCCAACGGCCCGATCCCGATGCCGCCCCATCTTCGCATTGCGTCGTTGTGCACCCTGGCGCGGCGGATCTGACCCGACGCCGGCTCCGTGCCAACGCGGTTCGATCTAACGCGGGCAAGATTGTTTTCCAGATGCAGTGTATCTCGGGTTTTTGGGTCCCCTTCATTGGAAAAACGAGACGCAACGAGTATGAATGAACATTTGCCCTCGAGAGGCCAGATGTCATCCGTATCCATTGTGTCGCGGATTTGGAAACCTCTTCCAACAAATCCCAAGCAGTCGATGTGCATCTACAACCCAGTGGATTTAAACAGTGGAGACGGCGGGGTTCGGGAGAGACGCGGGTGGTTACTCGTTAGGCGTCGGGGCCCCAGGACAATGTTGGATATGTTGGATTTCATGACAATTTGGGAGTTCCAGATGCATCTGAGAATCTCTCACACCTCGTCAAAAAATGTCAGATCACCTTCAGGGCGATCTGACAATGTTCCATGCCGTCTGACGCCGGCGATTTTGCTTGGGATTCCTTCGGGACAAAATTTCAGATCGATGTTCATGCCGCCTGAGAGTGGCGATGTCGTTGGTATTTCGTCAAGGCGCATCTTCTGGCCTCGGTCAGGGTAGTCCATGCCCTTGGGGGCGCGCACGCGTCGAAGCAGAACGTTTCGCTGCTGTGCTCCACGCCTTGCGGTGCCGATCCGTCGTCCAGTATACGGTCCCGTCTTGGAGTCGCCTTGAGGTCGGTCGACGGTCGACGCTTGAGGGCCCATCGACAAGGGAGGGCCCGGGGCGCGGCCCCCTCGGACCGTCCCGATCACGGCTTCTGTTATCCAGGGGGTGGCGCCCCTCGGTCGTTGAGAGCGGGCATTTGGGGGGCTTTCAGATGCCAATGGTCGGGTGGCGTCACCTGTTCTGTCCTCCTTGGGGGGCGGGCGGACACCCAATCTACTTTCAACGCCTTCCTGCTTCTTGTTTCGACCTACTTCTTCAGACCGATGGCCCACTCCGCCATCGTGACTTGGGTGTTGGTCACAGGCCTCTTGGATGCCTGCGGGGGTCTCCTGGGAGGCCTCTGGGAAACCTCTTGGAGCCATTTCTGGGGGTGGCTCTGGGGCCTCTCGGGGGCCTCTGGGGGGGCCTGCTTTGGGTCTCGTGAAAGCCTCCTGGAGCCTCTGGGGGGCTGTTTGAGAACTGCTGGCTCTCTCGGAGGTCGTTTTGAGGTGGAGAGCTCGAAATTTCGGATCGTGTTCTCACTCTGGGAATCCTCTTGGGGCCCTCTTGGGCCGACTTGGGGCCCTTTGGGGTTCCTGTTGGGCCATCTTTGGGTCCTATTTTTCTTAGGCGTGTAGCGTGCCGCGCTGGCGGCCAACGCAAGCCACTGCGTAAGGCCGATACGTCATCTCGCGCAAGACCCGCTTGTTTCGTCGCCCGTGTGAGTACTGCTTTCAGCTTCGATCGGACTTCCCGTTTCGATGCTGGCGGATCTTGCAGCGCCCCCAACTGTGCTGGGCGGGGCCCGGACAGGGATAGAGTCGTTCCAGATCGCACGCTCCAGCTCGTCCTCGTCCTCGTCGTCGTCGCCGTCCTCGTCGCCGTCCTCGTCCTCGTCGCTGTCGTCCTCGTCCTCGTCCTCGTCGCTGTCGTCCTCGTCGTCCTCGTCGTCCTCGTCCTCGTCGTCCTCGTCGTCCTCGTCGTCCTCGTCGTCCTCGTCGTCGTCGTCGTCGTCGTCGTCGTCGCCCTGCCGTGGCCCCTCGGGCAGAGGAGCCGCCCGCGCCCCGGCGGCCGCCGCCCGCGCCCCCGCAGCCCCCGCCGGAGGGCGGCGCGCCCCCCGCGCCTCGCCAGGGCCTGCAGCGCTGGGCCGAGCGCGTGCACGCCCTCGCCGGCGGCCCGCGGCACGCGAGACGGCGACGACGACGGCGACGACGACGACGACGACGACGACGACGACGAGGACGACGACGAGGACGAGGACGACGACGACGACGACGACGACGACGACGACAGCGACGAGGACGACGACGACCACGACGACGACGACGACGACGACGACGACGACGACGACGACGACGACGAGGATGAGGACGAGGACGAGGACGAGGACGAGGACGACGAGGACGAGGACGAGGAGGAGGGGGAGGAGAAATCCGTTCCAGAGCGTGCCGGAACGCTGTCAGAGCGTCCCGGAACGCTCTGAGAAGGCCGCGGCGCCCGGGACATCTTCCCAAGCCGCGGGATCGCAGAGATTCTCGATCTGTCCTCACCCAGTTTTATCCTCGTCCTGGCGTCGTCTTAGCTCGGTGGTCGGTGATTCAAAGAGGGGGTCCTGAGGGATGGGGTCCTGTGGACAGGAAGGGAGCCAAGGGTGGATTTACCCTGTTTGGAGCACCTCGTCCTTAGGGCCCCTCAGGACCCCATCTTTGAACCACCGACAGGGGCTCGGTGTGTGCGAACTCCGCCAAGATCGGCGCGGAGGTTGCTGCATAACCTTGGGAGCCTGGCGTCGCATTTGTTTGCGCACCCAGCGATTCATGCTCAATATTCGGGCCCAGGGACCCTCACACCTCGATCGGGGTCGGAAAGTGATGCAAGATGATGGGGTCCAGGGCTCCGGTCGTGGTTTTCGCGATGTCATTGTTCGCGCCGTCGGGTCTCAGGGAAGGAAAGAGGAGGGGAGATCAGTGAATGCCGAGGTGAATTATCTCTGTCCTAACCTTGCTTGCAAGTGAGATACAAATGCCCCAGTGGGATTAGCGGGGTTAGCGATCCAGGCTTAGTGGGCTCCGCCCATTTAGCGGAGCTGTCTTCCCCTTGAAGCCGTGTGGTGCATTTGTAACCCACTCGTATGCTAGGTCAGGCCAGGTATAACCCACCTTGGCAGCCATTGATATCCTCCTGTCCCTTAGCAACCCCCGCGCCGATGCCAGCGCGTCGTTTGGTGGTCGGCCAAGGAGCTGGGTGTATTCGGACATCCGGCGCCTGGAACAAAGTCGAGGCGGGGGTTGTCCATCGTCTTCGGCCTCTTTCGGGGCCCTCGCCAGACCTCGGGACCGTCAACAAACGTCCCGGGATGAAGGATCGATCCCGAGGAAGTGGTCGAGAAGTCGGGGGGGGGGGGGGCGTGTCTCGAAAAAATCGAGACGCCGGCTGTGTGCTCCAGCGGCCGCTGACTTCGCAGGAGCTCGATGTGTACACCGCGTGGCCTGGCTGGCCGAGGAGCAGCTCCCATGGCTCCTCGGCCAGCAAAGCCGCGTGGCAGATCCCCTCGCGTGGTTCGGCGAAGGGATTTGTCGTCTAGACGCTCCAGCGTCCCACAGAGGATGGGGCAGCTGGGGCGTCTATCCGCCCAGCCACCCGGCGGCTCGAGTTGTTCGAGGCACGGCCCCCTGGCTTCTCGACCACTTCCCCGGGACCAATTCGTCATTCCGAGGCGTGCTTTGACGGCCCCGAGGCCCGGCGAGGGCCCCGAGAGACCTAAAACGATGAAAAAATTCCGCCTCGAGTGTGTTCGAGACGCCAGGTTTGGGTACGCCGTACACCCAGCAGTATACATCGAGCCACTCACATAACTACCCAGTGCCATGCACGCACATGTGGTCCCTCGCCAGAGCGCCCTCTGGTGCTCGTAGCATTCGGGGTACCAGTTTCGGCTAGTCGAGAAAACGGCGGCCCTCCCTCGCACCTGTTTGGGCCTCCAGGAATTTCTCGTTGCCACGGCTGGAGAAGGAGGAGGAGGAGGAAGAAGAGGAGGAGAAGGAGGAGGAGGAGGAGGAGGAGAAGGAGGAGGAGGAGGAGGAGGGGGAGGAGAGGGAGGAGGAGGAGAGGAGGAGGAGGAGAGGAGGAGGAGGAGGAGGAGGAGGAGGAGGAGGAGGGAGGAGGAGGAGGAGGAGGAGACGAGAGGAGAAGAGGAGGAGGAGGAAGAGGAAGGAAGGGAGGAGGAGAGGAGGAGGAGGAGAGGAGGAGGAGGGGGAGGAGGAGGAGGGGAGGAGGAGAGGAGAGGAGGAGGAGGAGGAGGAGGAGGAGGAGGAGGAGGAGGAGGAGGAAGGAGAGGGGGAGAGGAGGAGGAGGAGAGGAGGGAGGAGGAGGAGGAGAGGAGGAGGAGGGAGGAGAGGAGGAGAGGAGGAGAGGAGGGAGGAGGACTTCGGGAGGGAGGGAGGAGGAGGAGGAGGAGGAGGAGGAGGAGGAGAGGAACGTCTTCGGCGGGCCCTCACGCCGCGGATATAAGTTCTGAGTGATCCTGGCTAAGTTCTCCGCTTGTTTGCGAGACTTTCCAAAGCAGCGGACCTCAAGGTGACGGAAATATTATGTCGCATATGTGCCAAATTCATGGCAGAATAACATGCAATATTTCGGCCACTCTCCAAGCTTATGTGAGGGATGCGACACCCTCCCGCCCAAGCCCTTCCATCCACCACCTCCCGCAGCCTTGGGAGCACAGTTAAGGACGGGTGGGGTTGGGGCTGGCGGGGCCAGCAGTGGGGTGCACGGAGTACGACAGAAATCCAGCAAGTCAGAGGCATGTACACGTTGGCTGCAGACTTCACATCGCCACTTCGCTCCGTCCTGGACCACCTTGTGGTCCGAGTGCCAGCCTCCGACAGCGGACACCCGAGGCGCGGTCTCTTCACGCTCCGCACGGGACGAGTCGGCATCCAGGAGGAGGAGGAGGAGGAGGAGCAGGGGGAGGAGGACAAGGAGGAGAAGGAGGAGGAGGAGGAGGACAAGGAGGAGGAGGAGGAGGAGGACAAGGAGGAGGAGGAGGACAAGGAGGAGGAGGAGGACAAGGAGGAGGAGGAGGAGGACAAGGAGGAGGAGGAGGACAAGGAGTAGGAGGAGGACAAGGAGGAGGAGGAGGAGGAGGAGGAGGGGGGAAGGGGAGAGGAGGAGGAGAGAGGTCTAGGGGCCGATTCTGAGGGCGTCTTGGCCGCAGGAGGGCCGACACGGCCTCGAGCGGCCAGAAGGCGTTCGGACGTGTGCGCGTCCGCCCCCGAAGGTTCTCTCCTGCCTCGGGATGGGCTCCAGCAGTAAGTCGGGCATGTCTCCCTACAGGAGGAATACTCAACAGATGCTTGGCATCGCTCGGACGTGTGCATTTCCTTCGGCGAGGACCATCGAGGAGCATCCTTGATCATTTGGCGAAAAAACCACGCACGAAACCGAACAAAATAGGAAATGGACGTCCGAGCGATGGCGAGGATACACATATATATATATATATATATATATATATATATACACACATATATACACACACTTATAATTATATAATTGTATGTACACACATATTGCTTGTAGACAACTGTCTTGAGTATGTTTCATTGATCTTCCAAAATCCGCCTGTCGGGGGACATGCCCGACCTAACTCCAGCAGCTGTGCCTCGCCGAGAGCGTCCCCGGGGTGCCCGCGTCGTCCCAGCGGCTGTCGGAGACCCGAGAGCTGCGGCGCGATGGCCGAGTGGCCCCTCATCGGAGGGGCCTCGGCTGCGAGGCACTCGCGGGTGCCAGGGGGGGAACCCGGGGCCCAAGCACGCAGACTGGCGGGGGAGCGAATCGGGGAAGGGCTCTCTGGGTTTCTCGGTGAGCGTGGGGGGTACCCCCCCCCCCGACGGGGGTCAACCTCGCCTCGTCGTCGCGCCGCGACGGGGGCTCAGGGGCGCCTTCGGCGCGCGATGGCGGCCCGCGACGGGGGTCGATGTGGGGCTGGCGGCGGGGGTGACGCCCCCCCGACGCGTATTAAGAAACGCGGAGTAGGGCTCGAGTTCGGTAGAGCTCGGATTTGCAGACGCTCTTTTTTGGCGGTGGAATTTTCGCGGGCTGTGTGCTTGCAGCGGGAGCGCGTCAGGTTTCAGATTTGGTCTCGTCGTTTGCCTGGCGGCCCCGTCAGGCCAACCCGAGTCGCACGTCTCCCCGAAAGAAGGGTGTAAACGCCTGCCTCAGGGCGGCTGGAAAGTTCGCACCCCACGTGCCACCATAGCGTCACAAACTTCCCAGCAGCCCGCCCTGAGACGGACGGCGGAAAAGTTTACTTTGTACGCCCTCTTGTCCGTTCCGCCCATGCAAACCGCCAATGCCGCCGCATTGCACGCGGCGATCGGCAAGCCGGCGCACCACAGGCCGATCCTTCAGGTGTTTCTGGAAATTGTCTTGGCCCACGGAATGCCTCCAGAGCCCCTTTTTGGTTTCGTGAGGGATGCTCTGGAAGCCATCTGAGCGACGGAAGAAATTGTTATCGATGGCGCCGACATTTGCGCGCGAGTTGCCCGCGTAAGGTCGCGCATAAGCACCCTCGCCTCCAGTGTGTAGCGTGCCGTGCCGACGGACCGCGTAAACCACCGCGTGAGGCCGCTACTCGCGCAAGACCTCTTTCTTTTCGTCGCTCTTCTGGAGAGCGTGCGATAACGGACGTTATCGCGGGTGGAGGGGGGAGGGGGCGGGCAACGTCACGTTTCGCGCCGGCGCTGTCTTTGAAGGTCTAGGAATAACCACAGAGATTTCGGAGGTCAGCGCAATCGTGACGTCACCTGAGGGGGGGAGGCGGCCGGGGCCGCTAACGGCCGCTATCGCGAAAAGTACGTACATGCACGCATGCATGCATACATACATAAATGCAGGCATGGATGCATACATGCATGCGTAAGTGTATACGGACGTACGTACATACATGCATGCGTAAATACATACATACATACATACATACATACATGCATGCATGCATACATACATACGTACGTACATACATACATATGCATGCCCACATACATACGTACATATACACACATACATACACACATACATACATACATACATACATACATACATACATACATACATACATACATACATACATACATACATACATACATACATACATACATACATATATGCATGCATGCATGCATGCATGCACATTCACACACACGCACACACATACACATGCACACATGCACACATGGATACGTACATACAAACACGTGTACATACATGCATACGTACATATACATATACATATATAGATATGTGTTAAAGCACATGTCTATTCATACACACATACATATCTACATACATACTTACATACATGCATACATACATACATACGTGCACGCATGCAAGCATACATACAAACATACATACATACATACATGTACAGACAAACACACATACGTGCATGCGTGCATGCATGCACACGTACATGCATGCGTAGTTGTATGCGTGTTTACATATATACAGATATATACATATATACAGACATGCAGACATGCATACATACGTGCATGCAACCAGGCATGCACACATACGTACATATATAGTATGTATATATATACACACATATATATATATTTATATATATGTATGCACACACTTACCTACTTGTTCTACATTTATATATATAGATTGAGTTACCAACATGCATGTGTATACTATGCTATGGGTATGCGCATCTGTTTATGCATGTATACATGTACGTACTTTGGCATAAACACAACACTCTCTCCTGCGCCTCCCTGGGAAAGCTGGGGCCACCTAGGCCAGCGCCACTCCCAGCAGCGCCCGAGCCCCTGGGGCCCGCGGGGGCACCCCTCGCCCGCGGCCCAGGCGGGGACGCGGCCCTGCTGCAGCACTGCCGGGACTTTGTGCGCGGCCGCATCCTCGAGGGCCACGCCGCGGGCATCCTGGACGAGATCGACTGGGACGACGAGCCCCTCCCGGCGCTGGAGCACCTCTGAGGCGTCAGGGTTCCCCATCGGGGGCGGCCAAGAGGGGGGTGATGACTAGGGGGGGTGGATATCATGGCGGGGGCCATGATATCTCCCCAGATTTCATGGCGCCTCTTCTCATTCTATTACGTCCCTGGCCCCCCCGCTGGGCCGCGCACACTTGCCGACGGTCATGATTTGCACCCCCTCCCCTCTTGGACAACCCCCTCTTGGCCGCTCCCGACGTCAGGGCTCCCCAGACCAGGACACGATTCAAACCCGTACCGTGACGATCCCGCCTGCAGAAGAAGAACGGGCAATGGAGAATGATTCGACCCGCGCGCCAAGGTTCGAGGAGCAGCCAAGAATACCCGTCGGTCGCTGGGGGTAGGTATTTCTGCATTCCCAGATCCCAGTCTACTCCGAGCGCCATCCTACCTCAAGAACCAATATGCCTGTGAAGTGCTTTGTTCTTCTCTGGACGGGCCCGAACCCCATCTACTTGATCCGCCTTCTACTTCATGTGTTACCTACTTCGTCCAAACGGCGTGCAAGACAAACATACAGTGGAGACCCATGCCAAGAAACACCCTGCTTGCCTCCAGGGTACCCTGGGTTTCATGGGTTTCGACTGTTTTGTTATGGAGAGCGGGACGCTCCCACGCCAAAAGTCAGCGGACGTCCTGGCGTCTCAGGGTTGTGGCTTTCTCGTGGAAGGCTTCCTGTGGTCGGGCCCCTACTGCAGTGAAATAGAGGTTCGACGGTCCGCGCGGCGGATCTCTCGGATCGTCGCTGGACCCCCCCCCCTCCCTGGCGCGCGGAGCGGGGTCGGCGGCGGGCGTGCCGCCAGCGGGCTCCAGCGCCGCTCCGAGGCATCCGCGCGGACCGCCGTCGTTTCGTGCCTGTGCCATGCACGATCGGTCTCTTCTGCACTGTGCTGGCGGTCTTCGCGGGCCCCCGCTCCTGCTCCTCCTCCTCCTCACCTCCTCCTCCTCCTCCTCCTCCTCCTCCTGCTCCTCCTCCTCCTCCTCCTCCCCCTCCTCCTCCTCCTCCTCCTCCTCCTCCTCCTTCCCCACCTCCTCCTCCTCCTCCTCCTCCTCCTCCTCCTCCTCCTCCTCCTCCTCCGCACCAGGCAGAGGTCCGGGGCCAGACCCCTCCGCCCCGCCACCCTTCCGCCCACTGCCGGAACGCCGAAGCGTCCTGGCCTGCGGTGGGTTCGCGTCGTGCCGACGCGGCTGCGAGCCCGCCGCGGAAGCTCAAGGTCGAACGCCGGCGGTGGCCCGGAATCGGCTGGCCTGGGACGATGCAGCGCTCGAGAGGCCGCCGATCGTCCCAAAGTGGAGGGATCCACGCGGTGCCCGAGGCCCACGACGAATCCATCACGACACGGACCTTGATGGGCCGAAATCCCACCACCACTACCACAGGCACGAGGGGGAGGAGGAGAAGGAGGAGCGGGAGAAGGAGCTGAGGGGAAGGAGGACCTCCCCATCCTCCCCTCCTCCCCCGTGACAGTTCTGGTGGTGGTGGTGGAAAAGACGCCCATGAAGCTTGCCTCACCAGATTCCCTGTTCTAGGGGGCCCTGGAGGCGCCCCGCCAGAGGCCCCTCTGGCCGCGCAGGGGGGGGCCGCGCCGCGCGCCGGGCGCCGCGCCGCGCGCCAGGCGCCGGCCGCTGCGAGGAAGAGGGCCCGCAAGCAGTCGGGAGCTCGGCTTCGCGTGCCCCTGGCGCAAGGTTCGGGCCGGACGAAAGGGGAGGATTGGGCAAGGGGGGGGTACGAAATCTGCTGCATGCAATGCAGCTGGTTTCGGCCCCACCGAGAGGCCTATTCCTCGATACATGGCCGCCTCCGGCGCTGGGGGGTGCCGGGAAGGTCAGCTGCGTGGGCTGATTCTCGGGCCCCCCCTTTGCTATCCCCCCCTTTCGCCCGGCCCGGGGGGGGTCCACCAGAATTTCAAAGGAGACCCCCACGGCCTCCAAAGCACCCCATCACGAGTCCCCAGGGGCTCCAAGATCGAGCGAAGAGCTGGGAGCTCGGCTTCGCGTGACCCTTTGGCATCGCTCTCCCTCGAAGAAGAAGAAAAAACACAGAAAAAGAAAGAAACAACAAACACCATAAACACAAACTTTTGGCGCTCCGCGCGGATTTCTTGGATCCACGACGGGGTCCCCCGGCAGCGCCTCCGGCGCCGCCCTTGGCGCGCTCCACGCGCCAAGGAGGGTGGTCCAGCGCAGATCCAAGAAATCCGCGCGGAGCAAAAGTTTATGTTTATGGTGTTTGCTATTCGTACCCCCTGGCATCGCTCGGACGTGTGCAGTTTTCCTCGGTCAGGACCATCGAGGAGCATCCTGGGTTCTCGAGCCAAACAAAGGCGCAAAATCGAAAAGTGCACGGGGAATGGACGTCCGCGCGATGGCGAGAACCCAGGCATACGGCTTCTCGAAAGAAGTCGGGATGAAGGTTGCTCCAGATATTCAGCATCTCGGAGCCTCACCGGGCCCCAGGGCCGTTCAAAACGGCTCGGGATGAAAAACCGGTGCCAGAGGAAGTGGTCGAGAAGTCGGGGGGCCGCGTCTCGAGAGAATCGAGGCGCCAGATGTCTGGGAAGAGTGGCCTTCCGCTGGAGTGCCTTCTGGTGTAGGCTCACGGGGGACCACCCAGCTCTGGCCTGCTCGCTTGGGCCTAGCCCCGCAGAGCCCCCAGAGGCCGCGCACCAGAGGTCACGTTTTGCCCGGGGTCGCTCTTGCGCGCAGCCGCCCGGGCGCTGCGGGCGGGGCTGAGCGGCTCAAAGATGAGGCCCCGAGGAAGGGCCCCAAGGTCAAGTCGGACCTGCCCCTTTGCAGGAGGATCCAAAGATCGTAAATAATCTGAGTATGTTTAACTTTTCGTCCAGAACACCCCTGTAGGGGGACAGGCCCGACCTGAGCCTAAGGACGGACGAGGGTCCATTTCGATCGGATCGATCCGATTCGACGTCGCGTTCGGCCAGTCCGATCCAGTCCGGGATCGATTCCCTGGCGATCCGATGAGGCCCGAGGCTTACATGGCGTTGTTGTGCGCCTCGGTGCAGTCGACATGTTTTGGTGATGTTCTGTGTTGGTTTGAATGTTTTTTGTTGTTTGGTGTTTTCAATGGTTTCCCAACCCCCTCTCCGCTCACAGAAGAAATCGTTTTGCATTCCGCCTGATAAGAACTCCTGTCGTGCTCCGCCTCAGAAGGATTACTTTTTCAATGCGCCACAGAAGGAATCCTTGTGTATCCTGCCACAAACGGAAACCTTTTGCATCTGGCCACCAAGGGGATCCTCTTCCGCCACAAAGGATATTTGCGCCGCAAAAGGAGCTTGCGCATTTCAAGAGCAGTCCGTTTGTGGTGGGGTAATACAAGATTCATTCGAGTGGAATGGAAGTTTTTTTTGAATGGGGGGATACACTTAGATTACGTGTATGGCGGATTTACACAAGGGGGCGGTTTGTATCGTACATGGCGCGGGAGGATGAGGAGGAGGAGGAGGAGGAGGAGGAGCAGCAGGAGGAGCAGGAGGCGATCCCGACGCGGGCCGGCGCTTCCTGAACGTCCCGAGCACACGGACGTGCAGGGGAAATCCCATTAGCCCCCTGGGCGTGGGTGGTTTAAAAAGTTGTGTCTTTGCCAGGCGCGGCGGGAGGGCTCCAGAACGATTTTGCATGGTGTTTGGCCCTAGAAACCCATGGCCAGAGCGTCCATAAGGCTGGCGGTGTCAGGCGCGGTGCCAGGGGTGGTGGTGGTAGGGGAGGTGTCGGGCGCCGCGGGCGGTCAGCGCGCGGAGGGGGGGGGGCGCGGGCGGCAGGGAGGAAGGCGCAGGCGCATTGGCGCGATGCTGGGCGCCAACAGGGCAGCGCGGGCAATGGCCAGCTCATGAACAATGACCACACCAGGAGTCGACGTCCTAACCACTAGACGATGTGGTCTCTGCCCCTGCGTGGGCCGCGCGCGTTCATCACGTGGACTGGCCGCTCGCACGGGCCGACGCACGTCTGCGCGCCAAGCCGCGCCCATGGCCCAGCAGCGCGCGCCGCCGTCGCCGCCGCAAGCAAGAAACACCCACCGCGGGGCCTGAACCCACGACCACTGGTTAAGAGCCTTGCGCTCTACCAGCTGAGCTAGGCGGGCATATGGCAAGTGCCGGGAATGATGTCGGCCCACGTGCGGCCCCGCGCCCAAGTAAAGCAGTGCCCCCGCGCGCTGGTCGCCTCTCCTCGCCCAAGAAGCAGCGGCCGCCTGCGCTGGCGTTGGCCAATTTACCGCGGAACAGCGCTGACATAGAGTGGCAGTCACTGATGTGGCCGAGTGGTCTACGGCGCTGGCTTCAGGCGCCAGTCCACAAGGGCGTGGGCTCGGTGGGCGGACTCTCTGATTCGGCGGGCATGCTCTCTGATCCGGTGATTTGGCTGATCCAGCAAATCCGCTGATCCTGCTGATCGGGCCAGCTGATCCCGCGATCCAGTGACTTGGTGTTGTGGCCATTGGTCTGGCGATCGCGTCTTTATGCACCACACCCGGCGGGCCCCGTCTTTAGGATTATGTTAGTTGCACGTATTTTGAAAAATAGGTAAAGTTTTGTTCAACACGCACACACATACATACATACACATATATATATATATATATACATATATATATACATTCATACTCGGAGACAAAATCGTGAACAACATATTTGTAAAGGTTTTTAGGTGGGCTTTCTTTGCAACTCTTCAATCGCAGATCGCATTGAGCTTCCGTTGACGTGGAAGTGACGCAACGGCTGCGGTTATTGATGCAATCCACCAAAAAGCAATGTTGACAATTGCTAAATTCCAGAAGATCGTGTGCGGATTGTGCGCGCGTGTACTTTTGATGAGCGATTCCATTCCATTCCCAATCTCCTCCATGCGTTTGTCGAAATATGCCGGTTTCCGTTGTGATTCTCAATTTTTGCCACGCGGACAGCGTTCTTCTCATTCTCTTCGAGAAGTCGTATTCTCGAACCACTCGCATGGCTGGTGCAAAGTGTTCGTGAATTTTGGCCGCGCGACCCGCCCCTGCCGGATCGCGCAGCAGCGGTCCGAAGCACGGCTCGCGCGACGGCGACGGCGGCTGCGACGACGACGGCCGACGGTGCCGCGGCCCGCCGATCACAGCGGCCCGCGGATGACCGCCGCTCGCCGTCGACCGCCCGCCGATGACCGCTGACCGCCGACAGCAACGGCAGTGGCGCCAGCAGCTGCGGCGACAACGGCGGCAAACGACGGTGGCGATGCGCGAAGGTGCTGAAGGCGGCGACGGCAACTAACAGAAACGACGAAGGGAACTAAACGAGGAGAAAGGGAATGTAAATCTTCCAACCCTTATTATACATGCAGTTTTGGGAGTTCATGATTTCTGATTTTGTGCGTGCGTTCAGGAAATCCCACCAGCCTTCTGGGCGTCGGTGGTTTAGGGAGTTTCCTCTTCCACCCCTCCTCCTTCCCCTTTCGGGGAGGGGTTCACCCCTCCCCCTACCCCCGACCCTGGATCTGGAGGGGGGATGTCGCGAGGCCCCCAAAAAAACCCAGGATGCCCCCAAGAAGCTCCCAAGAGACCCCGAAGAGGCCCCAAGAAACCTCAAGAGACGCTCACCAGAAGCTCCCATGCCACATCATTGGTTTGACGAAGGTTTTCGCCACATGTTGGCCTTTTAGGGGGGGGGCACTGATTAAGATGACTCCAAGAGCTCCTGGGAGAGCCCAAGATGACCTCCAAGATGGTTCAAGATATCCCAAGATGTCTCATGATGGCTTCCTCTGTGTGCTGCCCATTTCCCTGATCAAGGCAATCCCTCTGGGCATCGTTTCTGGATGGGCTGGTGGGGACTCGCGAAGCATCAACAATTTATGATTTCGTGTGCGTTCTGTCATTTTATGAGAGAGAAGTCCTCTGGATACGTCTGCTCGCTTCGGGATGAGACCCGGCCACCCCGCACCGCGGGAACTCAACGCTCTCGCGCGCGCGTTGCTGGCGCGATTCGCAACGCTCTTTGCGGCGTCCTCGGGCGTGCGAAATGCGCGACGTAACGGTCTCGCACGACGTTCAGCCTGAGGTTCGGGTGAAATTCTAGACGCTTCGCGTATCCCCACCAGCCCTTACCGCTCCCTGTCCGCCGCCTCGGAGCCGCCGACCAAAACAAGTATCCCCACCAGCCCGTCCAGAAATGAGCCCAAGGGGCGTGGAGGTGATGAGGGAAGCGGGGGAGCATGCAGAAGAACAAAGGGCGGGGTAAGCCGCCATATACCCCAAGAGGGGGAGGATGGAGTCGTCGTCGCCGTAGTAGGACGAGGAAGAGGAGGAGCAGGAGGAGGAGCAGAAGGAGGAGGGGGAGGAGGAGGAGGAGGAGGAGGAGGAAGATGAGGAGGAGGAGATGGAGGAGGGCGAGGACGTGGAGGACAAGAAAAAAGAGAAAAAAAGAGGAGAAAGAGAAGAAAGAGGAGGAGAGAGAGGGGGAGGAGGGAGGAGGAAGAAAAAGAGGAGGAGGAGGAGGAGGAGGAGGAGGAGGACAATGGCGAGCTTGGGGGCCTCTTGGGCCGTCTTTGGGGCCTCTTGGTGGTCCCGGGGGCCTCTTGCGTATCTCGGGGGGCCTCTTGTGGCCTCTTGGGGGTCTCTTGGGGCCTCTTGGAGGCCTCTTGGGCG